AGCAGGGACTGGTGCTGATTCTTAGGAATTTACTTAGGGACTTGAGCCAGTAGTTTATTAATTAACCTTCCCAGCTGGGTTGTTCTGAGGATAAAAATATATAAGTTGGACAATTGCCCTAAACTTGAAAGGTTTGGGTAAAACGAGTTAATAAAAAGTGATTATGTTCATGTTGTTATCTAAGCCAGGTTTCGCTTTATTTCGTTTTGCCTTATTGTGTTGCATGCAAGATATTAATAGCTGAAATATAGATGTTCTTGCATTTTAATAATCATAGAAAATGTTTAACTATTGAATAAATCTGAAATATGCATGTAGATGGTGCTATGAAAGGCAACTGAGGATTTTTTTCTGTGAATAAAATATTTGTCAGGAATGTAGTAGTACTTTTCAAGATTAATACATTTTATTGTAAGGTACAAGCTTTCAAGAGCTGCAGCTCAGTTCATCACATTCATGGAGTGGCTTAAGTGATATAGAATTTAAATATATTGGGATGAAGCGGAGAGGGAAGAGAGAATAGTTATGCAGATGAAAGTTTCATGGAGGACAGACCTCATGTACCTTATCAATTAACAAATATAATGTGCTACAAATCTTATGTGTATAATTTGTTGGGGCCCATAATGGTGCTGTACAGTAGATGTGGAGGCAGAATAGGCATTTGGGTTTTTGGCAGGATCTGGTTCCCATGTTGCTAGAGTTGTCCTGTTGTTTCTTGTTGCATATGACAATCTGCTTCAAACTGGGGTATTGACTGTATGCAAATATGGGCCTGTCAGCCAGTGCCTGAGAAAATGCAATAGAGCTTAAAATATATTAATAATGCATTTAAATGACTTGACCTATAGATGATAACCAATGATGTTCTATTGTTCCATGTTGGCGGTCTGTCTTCTAATACAGTGTTTCCCAAACTTGACAATTTTAAGGCATGAGGACTTCAACTCCCAGAATTCCACAGCCAGCGTTGCTGGCTGTGGAATTCTGGGCGTTGAAGTCCACATGCCTTAAAATTGTCAAGTTTGGGAAACACTGTTCTAATAAGTCATTCCTGAGACTCAGTCTGTCTTTACTGATACTCAGGAAGAGTAGTCCTGGTTTGCTTTTAAAACTGGATTTAATTAAATAAAATAGTTCATGTCTAAAAACTCTTACGTGTTTCTGGATACCTAAGCAGTTAGTCAGTTTATTTTGATTACTGACTAACAAAGCAGACCTAATCTGTATACCTGGCAGTTAGCATGAGTTTATTAAAAGATATTTGGGCACAAGATTATTAAACTAGCAAAAGGAACTAAATTTTAAGCAGAAAAAGCTTTTTTAAAAAGGCACTCAGATACCAATGGGATCATCAGCTGAACAAGATATGTATATTTGAGGGATTGGTTTCTGATCTGGTCAGTTTCCAGGCCACCTTCAGTTAGGAATTCAGAAAAGTGCTAGATTGGATACAGGAGGCAAAAGAGGATTTAATATTTAGCTATGTTGAAAGGAATACCAGAGGATGAAAAGTGCTGCTGATGTTCTCTGGGATCAGAGGGAATTTACTTGCAGACCAATACTTGCTATGCATTGTGAACTGAACATCTTGTACAAGTAATCCTCAATTTACAACCACAATTATGCCCAAAATTTCTATTGCTAAGCAACAGTTGTTAAGTGAGTTTCCCCCACTTTACAACTTTTCTTGCAACAGTTGTTAAGTGAATGACTGCAGTTGTTAAGTTAGTAATCTGGCTTCCTCATTGACATTGCTTGTCAGAAGATTGGTCACATGACCTCGGGACATTGCAGCCATCATAAATACATGCCGGTTGCCAAGCATCCAAATTCTGACAATGTGACTTACTTTTAAAAAGTAAGCTTAATTTCTCTAGATTGACTTTGAGTAAAGAACAAAGTGTTTCTTTTTTATGAACATAAATAAAACTTGTTTTCCTTTGATGCAGCAACAAAACACAGGAAATAATGTTCTTTTGGAGGATAGCCATGTTCAGTGCTCTCATGAGGGTGCACACCTCTTCCCAGATTTCATGGGACTTCAGCTTGGACACCTTCATCTATTCAGTTGTGAGTACCTACAACATTCATACTTCCTCTCGCTGAGGATCAGATTTTACACATGACATAGTAACTTGGAATTCTGAGAATTTGTAGTTCTGAATATCTAGAGGCTACAATAAAAGATGATGGTGTGTGTTACCAAGTCTCCGAGGAGCAGTCCTGGATATCGCAGTTCAGCAGCATCTTGGTTTTAGATCTTTCCAAACTGTGTGAGGATCGCACAGTCAATAGCTTCTCCTGCATGATAGGGAATGCTAGAAGCTCTAATTGCTGGAGGAAGCAAACTCTCAAAAGAATGTGACATTCTTTTGAGAGTTTGCTGCCTTCAACAACGATAATTTTGCATGATCCAATCTGAGTCAATCACTGACTCATGCAGTAGCCCATCTTCAGGGAACTTCTCTATAGCCTGGGGGGAGAGAGAGAGAGAGAGAGAGGAGTTCCCTGAGGGATGGGGGCTCCAGAACGAGTCCGAAAGCTCAGAAGACAAAACCTCTGTTCCTGGTGACCAACCCAGACCAACATTATCCTGGGACACGTTAATATAATATAATATAATATAATATAATATTAATTATTATATTAATTAATAATAATATTAATATAATAATATAATTAATATAATATAAGGATAATGTCCCATTATCCTGGGACATTATCCTTCATTCATGGACTATAGTTTTATGTAAGTGTTATCTCCAGACAGCTGACTCATTAGATGGTTGAAATTCCTGATGGTTGACTCACCAGGAATGAATGTTTATGGTTCTTCTTGAAAACCCTACCCCCAATGTATAATTCTTTTCTTATAAAGAGAAAAATGCCTGTCTTTCAGATTCACAGCAAGTGGGGCAAAATAGAGGACAACACCACACATAGGCAAAAGCGTCATGGTAGGTGCATATTTTTTCATGTCTTTTGCTTCATCTTCAATTTGTACAGTCATTTTTTTGGGGGGTAGATGATCTGATTTCTGCCTTGCTTGCCAACTGCAACTGGGCCTGACAACTCTGCTGTTAATCAGTGTGATCATAAAGTAAAATGTCACTTGACCATGCCTGACTTATGACATCAGTTCCAGCTGCACTTGTGAAGCAAATAAGATGCAATTGTTAAGCATGATGTTATATACCAATAGAGGAGAGTATTTGTATCTCAGGATTGAAATGAGGAGTCCCTGGTGCTTTCTAAGCTTGGTTGCTTTCATGCGGACGTTTCATGACCCAAACTAGGTAACATCATCAATGCAGAGCAACTACCAAGCTCAGAAGCACCAAGGACCCCTCACAATGTTATTTGACCACAAATTATAACTTCCTACTGGCTGCCCCATTGACTTTGTTGGTAACCTGCTGTGAAGGTCACAAACAGCAAGTGACTGATGGACACTGAAATGGCTATAAATGCATGCTAGTTGCCACATGCCTGAATCACATCACGTGACTGTGGGATGCTATGATGGCTACTATTTTAAGGACCAGTCATGAGTCTCTTTTTTCAGTGCCATTTTAATTTTGAATGGTGTCTGAACAAGTGGTCAGTAAGCAAAAACTATCTGTTCTTCACCTCTGGTAAAGAAAGAGACCAAATGTGAATGTCTTCACAACAACTTATGAAAGTGCCATTTCCCTTTCTCACCCTTTAATTTTCTTAATAGGTAGAGATGGGATGTCAAGTTTGAAGGCCAAATCAACATATGAAAGCTTGTCCATTCACAAAAAGATGGCAATAGAGGGTGGTCAGTCTCAAGCAAACTGGGCAGAGCATCCCAAAGTCATCAAGGAAAATATCATTGGGATCATTACTGCTTGGTCTTCACACTGGGGGATGCAGTGATAGGACACAGGGCAGCTCAAATTCACCAGTGCTTGTTGTGGTAAACACATAACATGTTAAATGAGGTGCAGGTAGTCCTCAAATTACAGCTGCAGTTGGGACCAGGACTAAGTGATGCAATCATAAAGTGCATGACCAGTGATGTAATCATAAGTGATGCAATCATAAAGTGCATGACCAGATCCCTTAGCAATAGCAATCCAGGTAGTCCTGGTTATTGCTGCAACTCAAGATGTGTAAGTCATTAAGTGGAGAGTGGAGGGAGTCCCAGGTAAGAATGTGGGGGTAGGTAGTGAGGTCCTGGGAGATGATGCAGTGTGAGGTCAGGAAGGCTGAGAAAGGAGGGAGCTGATGTGTGTGTACATGTTTGTGATTATAGGGAAGCTGTTGAAAGAGGACCTGGAGTGCTTGTGATTGCAGGGAGGCCATAGAAAAGGTGCTGAGTGAATGCATGTATGCAATTGCAGAGGGACCAGGGAAAGAGGGTGCAGAGTACATGTGTGTGTGTGTGTGTGCTAGCACAATCATGGAAAGACCGAGAAAAGAGGGCACAAGTAAAGTTTGGAGCGAGGATGATGTTCTAAAGGATAGGAGCCATGATAGAAAAGGCTCTCTTCTTGTGTCTTGGACAAGACCCATAACATGTCAGTCTTGATGGATGGGTAGATGTAACCATTGAGGGGAGGTCTCTCAAATAATCCAGCCCCATGCCATGAATGGCTTTATAGGTCATTACCAGCACCTTGAATTGAACCTGGAAGCATATTGGCAACCAATGCAGCTCCTGGAGCAGACATAGAACATGCACTGATTGAAAAATGCACATTTCTGCATTCTGTAGTAGATGAAATTTGCAATGTAGTTGACAAGATATGCTCATTGTGAGAGATTTTTCTGACTCCTGGGCCTGAGATTTTCTGACATGTACAATCATTGAGAAGAAGATAGCAGAATGTGATTGAGTCACTCTTATTATAAAATTAATTATGACAGACCATTTCCCCCCTTGTTAGACATGTCAACAGAATACACGATTGCTGTTGAGATAAATTTTGAAGACATCTCACTCCAGGAGGACCTCAGAAAGTTTTTCCAAGGACCTCAGAAAGTTTTTCCAAAACCTTAGTCTCCCAGTTTCAGTAAACATCCCTGATTCAGACATAAGCATTTCACAAATTAATATTACTACTGGTAAGTAATCCTTCACTATTTACCATCATAATTTGCTTTCTCTATGTTTAATTTAATTTGGCGGGGTTTTGTGGGGGGTATGTTAAAAATAAGTAGCTGGCTGAAAGATAAATACTTTAGAAGTACTTCATTTCCAAATCTGTCTGGATATATAAAAATGCAAAAGAAATGTATCTTTGTGGTGTGGCTTAAGACACATCAGGGTTAATTAGAGTTTCTAAATCTGTGGTACAAAACTAAACCAGCAGTTCTTAATTGTTTAATCTCAGTACTCCTTTACATTCTTAAAAATTATTGAGGATAGCAAACAGCTTTGGATTGTTGGATTTATTTATTTATTTAAAAATAACAATAATAAACCCCTTATATGTTAACTAATGTTAAACCTAAAACTGAGTTATTCTGAAAACACACATATTTATATCCTAAACTTGCTACCTGAAAAAATCCTAAAAAATATGAGAAAACACAAACGCATATGCCAGTGGTGGCGAACCTATGGCATGGGTGCCAGAGGTGGCACTCAGAGCCCTCTCTGTCGCCCTAGTCCTAGGCCTTCAGCTGGGTTTTATAAAACCTTTTTGCTTTAGGCCTCCGCCGCCATGCGCAAAAAAAAAAAAGGTTCAATCAATCAGTCAATTTCAACTTCTTGCGGGAAAAAAAAAGATCTTGCAACGTTGGAACTGATTGATTGAACTTTTTAGTCCCACCCAGTCTTCTATTACCACTGCAGCCACGCCCACCCAATGGGCCACACCCACCCAATGGGCCACACCCACCCAATGACCATACCCAGCCAATGGCCACACCTACCCAGCACCCGATGATGCATAAATGGGTTTTGGGTTGCAGTTTGGGCACTCGGTCTATCCAACACTCCAGAAGACAGGCTTCAGATACAGAAGGATCTGGACAGACTTGAACACTGGGCACTAACTAACAAAATGAAATTCAATGGTGAAAAAAGCAAGGTTCTACATTTAGGCAAGAAAACCAAATGCACAAGTACAGCATAGGTGGCACCATGCTCAATAGTAGTAACTGTGAGAGGGACCTCGGAGTCCTAGTATACAATCACCTAAATATGAGCCAGCAGTGTGCTGCAGCTGCCAAAAAGGCCAACCCAGTGCTAGGCTGCATTAACAGAGGGACAGAATCAAGATCACGTGAAGTATTAATACCACTCTTCAATGCCTTGGTAAGGCCACACTTGGAATACTGCATCCAGTTTTGGTCACCACGATGTAAAAAAGATTTTGAGACTCTAGAAAGAGTACAGAGAAGAGCAACAAAGATGATTAGGGGACTGGAGGCTAAAACATATAAGGAACGATTGCTAGAATTGGGTATGTCTAGTTTAACGAAGAGAAGGACAAGGGGGGACATGATAGCAGTATTCCAATATCTCAGGGCTGCCATAAAGAAGAGGGAATTAAGCTATTTTCCAAAGCACCTGAAGGCAGGACAAGAAGCAACGGGTGGAAACTAATCAAGGAGAGAAGCAACCTAGAACTAAGGATAAACTTCCTGACAGTGAGAACAATTAATCAGTGGAACAGCCTGCCTCCAGAAGCAGTAAATGCTCCAACACTGGAATTTTTTAAGAAGAGACTGGACAGCCATTTGTCCGAAATGGTGTAGGGTTTCCTGCCTGAGCAGGGGGTTGGACTAGATGACCTCCAAGGTCCCTTCCAACTTTACTATTATTATTATTATCGATCATCGCACAGTCAGCCATATGTTCAGACTGGATTTGGCATTTTGTCTACCTATCGAGTCCTTACCCAGGACCTGGTATAGGCAGATGTGGATGTTTGATGGTATTACAGGTATCGTCGCAGGATGGAAGCAGTTCCTAATAAGGCCGCCTTTTGCAATTGACTAATAGCAAATTTGTCAATGCCAATGGTGTTCAAGTGTGCTCCAGTTGTTTTGGGATTGCACCCAAGGAGCCTATTACTATTGGTACTACCCTTGCTTGCTTTTGCCACAGTCTTTCTATTTCTATTTGTAGGTCTTTGTATTTTGTTATCTTCTCCAGTTCTTTCTCTTCTATTCTGCTATCACCAGGCACTGCCACGTCCACTATCCAGACTTTTTTGTCTTTCTTATCGACAATTGTTAAGTCTGGGGTGGTATGTTGCAGGTGCTTGTCTGTTTGAATTCTGAAGTCCCAGAGCAGTTTAATTTTATCATTTTCTATGACTTTCTCTATTTTAAGATCCCACCAGTTTTTGCTTACAGGCAAATGATATTTTTTGCAGATCTTCTACAATGCACCATTGTTGCTACTTTGTCATGCCGCTGCTTGTGAATCAGTTTGTGCAATCTTCTTGCAACAGCTTACAAGTGGTCCACTGTTTCTTCAGCTTCTGTGACATAGCGCGGCACTTACTGTCGTGCTTGCTGTCTTCTCAATTTTGACTTTGGATGGCATTTTGTCCTAGGCTTGGTCTTGTGCAGCCAGAATAGTCCCGGTCTCTTTCTTAATTTTCCTGCTCTTAGCCATTTCCAGGTTATTATTATCTGCTTTCCCAGTATTTTTTTCATGTATTGGCCATGTAGTGCTTTGTCTTCCCATGCTCTATTCTGTTCTTCATTTGGTCTTTCTTTTAGGCCAGTTTGGTCTCTCCAGTAGTCAGTAAGCCTTCCTGATATACTAATTTCAGTGCATCTTCATCATTGTTCTTCAGATATTCTTCCAAAGCCATTTTTTCTTCTTCAACCATCTGATGTACTTGTAGCATTCCACGCCCACCTATTGCCTTGGTAGATAAAGTCTGTCAATGTCACTGCGTGGATGAAGGGCATGGATTCATTGTCATTATTTTTCTGGTCTTCCTATCCATTGCTTTTAGTTCTGCTTGAGTCCAGTCCACTATTCCAGCTGTGTACTAATGACTGGGATTGCCCAGGTGTTGATTGCCTTTATGGTATTTCTCCATTGAGTTTGGACTTTAAGATCTTCGTCACTCTCTTAATGTATTCACCTCTAATCTTTTTCTTGACTCAGTGTGCTTGAGGTTGTCAGCTTGAAGGATACCCAAGTATTTGTAGTACTCTTCCTCATCCAGACTCTTAATGTTATTTTTGTGGGGCATCTTGATTCCTTCAGTTTTCACTATTTTTCCTTGTTTGATAGTAAGTGTGGCACATTTGTCCAAGCCAAACTCCATTACAATATCTTGGCTATATATACGGACAGTGTTGAGCAGCGATTCTATTTCAGATGATGTTTTTCCATACAGCTTCAGATCATCCATGTAAAGGAGGTGGGATAGTCTGGCAGATGTTTTTGATGTTTGATAGCCATGTCCTGAGTTATTCAGTATTGTTGACAGAGGAAACAGTGCAATAACAAATAGTAATGGTGATAATGAATCTCCTTGAAATATTCCTCTCTTGATATTAACCTCTCCCAGCCTCTCACCATTGATCTGCAACTGTGTTTCCATTGTGCCATCGATCTTTGCACAAATTTTCTGATGTTTCTACTGACTCCTGTTATTTCTAGGCACTTTATTATCCAATCATGTGGCAGAGAGTCAAATGCCTTTTTGTAGTCAATCCATGCCACATTCAGGTTGGTCTTCCTTCTCTTGCAGTTTTCCAAGATCATTTTGTCTATTAGGAGTTGATCTTTTGTTCCTCTGCTATTGGGGCGGTTTCCTTTCTGCTCAGGTGGAAAGAGATTGTTTTCAACTAGATGCTGTTGTACTGCATCAGCTACCACACCAGTTAGTAATTTGAAAGTTGTTGGTAAGCAGGTAATTGGCCTGTAGTTACCTGGTGTTGCCCCTTTTGCTGGATTTTTCATTATTAGGTAGGTTTTCCCAGTTGTTAGCCACTTTTCAATTTCTCCTCCTTGTAGTATATTGTTGAACTGTTGGCAATGAGTGGGTGTATAACAGTTAGATGTTTCAACCAAAACCCATGCAGTTCATCTTCACCTGGTGCTGACCAATTTTTGATTTTCTTTGCTCTTTTTTCTACCATTTTTGTTGTTATTACTAGTTCTTTCATTTCAACTTCTGTTTTATTTGCATCCACCTCTTTTAACCAAGCCGCATCCTTGTTGTATTTCTTTGGGTTATCCCATATCTGCTTCCAGAACTGCACTGTTTCTTCCTTGTCAGGTACTGACTGATTCCTTGCAGTTTCTCCATTGATGGATTGGTAGAAAAGTTTCTGATTGGATTGAAATTGGAGGTTCTGCCTATAGTTTGCAATTCGAGCTTCATATCTACTGATTTTCCTGGCTATAGCTGTTATTTGTTGCTTTATTATTTCCAGTGCTTCCTTGATCTTCCTTGTTTCTAAGTGGTATTTCTTGATAGGTATTCTTTGGTCTTCTTGTTCTTCAGCTTCTTTTCTTTCATCTGTTCAGCTTGCTTGCATGTGATCTTAACTTGCTGATCTTATTTTCTAGTCTAACCTTCCATTTTTCTGGTGCACTGTTTGTTTGTTTTTCTTCTTTGTTGATTTTGCATCCCAGGTATTCTGTTATAACTGCAGCTGTGCTGTACATTAGTTGGTTTGTTTCTTGCAGTGAATTGGTGCTTATACTTGATATTGCAGTATTTGCATCTTTTAATGCTTGTGCTAGCTGTTTCTTTGGAACAAGCTTCAATGCAGGTAGCCTTATTCTGTTGTTTTTGTGCTGTTCTAGATGCTCAGTTATTCTTTGTTTCAATTCTTTTATTTCTTTAGTTAGAGGGTTTTGTTCTTCCTGAGGAAGAGGTGCCTGGTTTTCAAATGAGAACAGTTGTATATCTCTGCTGGATTCCTTCACTGCCAACTCCCCCTGGTTTGCCTCTACATTCTGAATTACTTCTGGTAAGGCTTTGATTTCTTTGCCCTGGGTAAACCTTTGCAGTTCGTCCAATTCTGTTTCTGTGAAATACTTTATTTCGTGTTATAAATCGGCGTTGATCTGCTAGTCTCTGTTCTGTTATTTCTGATTCTGGATGTTGTTCTTTCCAGAACTGGTGCATTCGTTTTAGATATCCTCTTCTTGTTGGACTTGATCTGTAGTAACAGATCATTATTTCTTTGTTTTCCATCACTGTGTATCTGCGACGGGTAAACACCTTTTCTTCCAGTAGTTCTGCAGCTGCTGGCCCTGGTTGCTCAGCCAACAGTCCTGAGTCCTGTAACCCATTTTCACCAGATATCCAGGAACTCCAATATCTAGTGCGGACCTTGTTAACCCGGGCGACGTCCGAGCCGGTATGGCATTCTGAAATTTACGTCTCACCATATTTTTTATGGGAGAGACACTCTTTGTCTGACTCCTCTGATGAGACCTGTCCAGTATGGTTGAACCTCTAGCATAGCTCTCATCTTCCTCAGAGTACACAAGCCCCACAACCACGTCAAGGTAGTGCCTCACTGGGGGATTATTATTATTATTATTATTATTATTATTATTATTATTATCACTGACATATGTTATTATCCATCAGAGTGATGACTTCATCACTTGTCATGTAGTGCCTAAAAACTTTATTGACCCCCTCCCTTGAAAAGATCCCAGAGACCCAGAGTCCACAGACTATACTTTGAGAATTGTTGCTTTAAACAATCATTAAATGTTAGGTGATTTTACCTTTGCTGGCACTCACAATTTTGACAGTCCATGTCCAGGAACCAAGGGAAAGACCATATGTTTAGGAGTAGAGAATTATCCATTCTTTCAAAACAAAACAAAACAAAACAAAACAAAACAAACATATTCTATAAACATTTGCTAATGCCTGACAGCTCTTCTTTTTTTTTCTTTTTTATTATTATTTTAGACCAACAAAACAAAACAAAACACAACAAACATTACACACATACATATATAATATCTTTTTTTTGTTAACAGCAATTTGCAACAGTACTCTTCTATTCTTTACATTTCCCTCCTCTTTCTTCTTTGAAATATTTGCCTGACAGCTCTTCTAATAGGAAAAAAAGGAAGTTTGCTGATAACACAACAGCCTCTATAGTATAGGGTGGCTCTTTGAGGTTCAACCTAATGGAATTAACTGTTCTCATGTTCCAGGAAGTTGTAGGCACATTTTGTTCATTTAGTTCATTTGTCCTTTAATGTCCTAATCAGAGTTTGTAGGGTGAATTTCTTTTGGAAGTCATAAAAGGACTCAGAGCTAAAATGTATTTGGGAGAATTAAGATAGGCAGGAAACACTAAAATATTTATAAAAGAATAGCAATGCTTCTTGCAACAGATAAAATTCTGTAAAACAATCTGATTTATCAAAACAATACAATAATTTATTTTATGTACTTAAACATTTGTCCTCCCTGTTTCTCAACATATTGTTTCAATCCAGTGGAGAAATGTGGACATCAGAGATATCATATCTGTGTTGTAAAATCTGGAGTTTTGCAGTTCTGCAAATAATTCTGCTATTGGTTTACAAATGGTGTAGATTGTTCAAAAAAAATACACAACCTTTCCTTGTTCTAAGAATGACATTTACAATGGAATCTCTACTTGGGAGGGGGGACTGTAGGGAGAGTTAAACTCAGTTTAGTCCTAATGGACAGTCAGTTAAATATAAGACAGTAATGTACTTCAGCTACCAAAAAAGCCAACAGAGTCCTAGGCTGCATTAACAGAGGGATAGAATACAGAACATATGAAGTGTTAGTACTGCTTTACAATGCCTTGGTAAGCTCACACTTGGAATACTGCATCCAGTTTTGGTCATCGTGATATAAAAAAGATGTTGAGACTCTAGAAAGAGTGCAGAGAAGAGCTACAAAGATGATTAGGGGATTGGAGGCTAAAACCAGGAGTTTTTTCTCATAGAACACCCAGAACGGAGTTCCAGCACCTTTTTGGGATGGAACCTTGTAGGGTAGGCAAGGCGGGTTGTATGACGTGTATGAGTTCCAGCACCCTTTTTTTTAACAAAAAAAGCACTGGCTAAAACATATAAAGAACAGTTGCTGGAAGTGTGTATATTTAGTTTAATAAAAAGAAGGACTAGGGGTGAAATGATAGCAGTGTTCCAATATCTAAGGAGCAGTCATAAAGAAGAGGAGGTCAATCTGTTCTCCAAAGCACTTGAAGGCATGATAAGAAGCAATGGATTGAAACTAACCAAGGAGAGAAGCAACCCAGAACTAAGGAGAAATTTCCTGACAGTTAGGACAATTAATCAGTAGAACAACCTGCCTCCGGAAGCTGTGAATGTTTTTAAGAGACTGGACAGCCATTTTTCTGAAATGGTATAGGATTTCCTGCCTGAGCAGGGGGTTGGACTAGGAGAGCTCCAAGGTCCCTTCCAACTCTGTTATTTTGTTATTCAGTTAGGTTGTTGGCCTCTGTGTAAGGGCCTGCCTTAACTAGGTCTCCCAAGAAAGCAGAACTCTTGAAACAGGCATTGTTTCAAAAGGAACTTTTAGTAGGGACTAGTGATAGCAGGGAAAAGAAAGCGAGGTCTGAGGAAAAAACCTTTGCAAGCAGTATATCAGAAGCAATATTCATTACTCCTTCCCCCAGGGTCCCAGGGTCCATTTGAATCTTAGCCAATCCACATGTGGTATATTGGTAACGGGCTCCTATGGCGGGCTCTTCAAGGTCTCTCTCACTTTCGTTTCCCTCTGGCTCCAAGTGTCTCCTAGATAAGGTTGATGTTATTCGGCTGCATTCCTTCTCCTGGTGGAGGGGCAAAGTGGCAAGACAGTGCAAAACATCCCCCAAAGCATCTCCCCTCTCAACAGAATGGCAGGCACCCAAAAATGGTTATAAAAGCATGTGTACGATAGAAAGAGAAATAATCCATTTCTTTGGGGATCTCTGTTAGATTCTTTACTTGCATATATTTATTTATTTGTATACCATCTTTATTATTTTTACAAATAACTCATAGCAGCAAACATATCCAACACAACTTCCTCTTCTTATTTAGACTGCTTTGATAAGAATCACTTTATACCTGAAAAATGAGACAACTGGAAGCCTTTAATCTATCTGTATGAAGGTTTACATTTCTCTTGACATTTGATGCTCTACAAAGTAGTCTGTAGGGTTTGAATGCCACATCCTGAAACCAATAAGATCCAATGTAATGATGTAACTTATTAATCTATTCACACATGAACAGATTAACCACATTTAATGTGTGGTAGAGAAATTGAGTCTAAGAGACCCAACACATTACCTTTGCTACTGCAGATTGGATTATTTTCTGACTTTTCTAGTATTTTTTATTACTGCATGGATCAACCTGTGATGCTAAAAAAGTGACTGTGCATATTATTCAGTTAAAGCTAATCAATATTCCAAGTGCGTTTAGTGTTGAAAAGCCAATGCTCAAAAAAAAAAAAAAGCTTAAACAAACATGGCTATCTGGGGAATTCTGGGAGTTGAAATCCATACATATTCATGTGGCCAAAGTTGAGAAACAGTGGGTTAGGATCTTGGATATTCAACCGTCCAAGTTTGTATATGATTTGACTTATGCATACAGAGTAAACATAATCAATGACATGAATAACATCAACAAGGTACAATGATTTAAGTCTTTTTTCGTTTTTGTTTTATCTTTTCTCACATTAGTGTGCAACTCAGTTGGCACTAATCTTTCTCATTGTTTCTGTGAACCTGATTATGGATGGTCTTCCAAGATCTGTAAAGCATATCCTGACTGCCATAATACTACAACTGCAATGGGAAAGAGCTGCAACTGTATTGCGCAGCTTCCTCCTCAAAAGACCTTTTGTCAACTTCAATCAGAAGGTAAGAGAAGCTGGCAAATGATGATGAATGGTGGCTTATGGGCAACAGCAATTCATTCATGAGAAAATAACTTTTCATAGGTAATCTGCCAAAATGGAAGCTTAAATTATTTTCAATTCAGAAAATTCTGATTGAGTTTTACATTTTACATCATTGCTATTTGCCAATTCTTCACTTTCTGGAATCTGTCAAATGTCATCTAAATAATGTTTGACTTCTAAAATCTATTCAATTAAACAAAATACTTGAATTTCAGATCAGAAATCTGATTCAGATCTTTAACTTCATCCTATGATTTGCAAATTTTGAAAAGCCTCCTGTATTGATTATATTTTTATTCCACTTGGCCTAAATCCCCACTGGGGTGACCATGCACTGTTTGGTGCTTGCTGAGTTCTCTGCTACATCTAATTGTATTGGTTTAGAATATTTTGATTTTGAAAATTGAGTGGGAAGCTAGCATGTAGCAAATCAAAGGATTGCTCTCAAGCATTACGTGTGTTTCTCATGGCTATGCTCCCAACGTAGAAACTGGAGACATTCTTAGAAAATAAGAGGATGGGTGACTACAACCTTCTGGTAAATAGGTCCTTTATGAACAGCCATATCCACCACTGCAACCATTGTGGGGAGAGTGCCTGTGACAGTCTATCAACATTCTAAATATGTCCACTGATCCCCAACATGGCGACCTTAGCTTGGTCTCTCTTGCACACTAGCATATATAATTGGCACTATCGCAAAGTTATCCTTTCACAAAAGAGGTCACTGTCTGTCATTTTCATTGCTCTGTTCTCATCCTCCATATTTATTAGTTATTTTCTATTTAATTTCTCATTTTAAACTTTTGTTATGTTACTGCTCCTACTCTGGTCCCAGGATTTTAATCTCTTGATTGTATGTGTTCCATTTGCCAGATTTCAGATTATTATTCCCATCTCCTCTTCTCCATGTCCTCATGCAAGCTCCAGTAAAAGAATACATAACGAAATTAGTACTAATTTTAAATGAATGGACTATTAAGAAGCATTTAGCCAAGACTGAATTTTATGATTAAATGATGCTTTATTTTCAAATCTTTATTTCAGCTAATAAGATTACTTCTCTTTTTTTTACCACTAATAAGATTACCTCTCTCTCTCTCTCTTTTTATCACAGATATTCCTTCAGTGCTCATAACAAATATGTCTGTCCGACTTGATATACCCTTTAAGAATGCTTTATGGGATTCATCCTCTGCGTTGTTCAAAAAATACAAACACGATCTTGAGAAGGCAGTAAGTCTGAGCTGGTTCTTTAACTAAAACTTGGCCAAGATATTTTAAGACTCTTATTACTTAGCTGAAGAGAATTTCTTTTGAAGGTGTCTAGATATTTGAAGTGATTAAAACAAATGCAAGTCCCATTTTATTAATCTGGATGTCATAAAACCACTAAGCTCAGGGTAGTGCCAATGATGTGGGTTTTTGTAGTCTTTTTAGTACCTCAGCTGTAAACTTTTAACTGAAGCCACCCAAATAAGCTCTCCGTAAGCCTTTCATATGGCACAGTTTTCACTCCATGTCCACTTATAATTTGTTACAAAACATTTTGAAACTGACCTTGGATTATCTTCACTTCTGATGGCTCAGAAAAAGCAGTAAGCCAGTGTGCTCTCTTTCCAGATGACCAATAGGATTAAAAATGTTTATTGAAATAGCCCCTGACCTGCCACAGCTCCTGGAGCAACAAACATTGGTTTTCTCCCACAACACTCTTGGTTGTTGGGTTTTTATTATTGCAAGTGTATACAACTATACTGAAAAGGGTCTCTAGTTGTCTTTGAAGAGTCTCACTCATCCAGGTCACAGTTGTCCCAAAGGTACTTTCCAAAAGGCAACTGGACTTTCTTAGTTTTTTTCCGTGAAAATCAAGGAGCATCTTTTTTTTTTGTAATATATTTTATTGATTTTTAAACATAAATCATTTAATAATTGGTGAAGAGTGTGTTGTCTGGGTTTACATTTGAAAAACAATCACTAACAATTAATTTCTATAATCCATAATCCACACAATGGTTTTAGTTGATTTCCTCTTTTCCCCAAAACATCCTCTTTTGCAAAAATTGAGTTAATACAATTCTTATTGTTTTGATAGATATCAATTAAATATATAATTTTTCCCAATATTCCTAAAAATAACAATCACATCAATATAATATTTCTTTTCTATCCAATCATTCTGGTTGTCTTATCATATAACCTGTTACAGTCCCTTATTTAAATTTGTTTCTCCCCCAAAATTCTAAGTATTCTTACTGGTTAACATTTTCTCAAAAATTAATTACATTTAAAAATTTAAGTCTATTTTTTCCATATAAACCTTTTATATTTGTTAAGAGATAGATAAAACAGTAAAAAAAAGAAAAGAAAGGAGAGCAAGAGTAAAGAAACATAAAAAATAACATACTACTTAAAATATATATCCCTCCTAAGCTAATATATTTGTTTTCAAGATTTCTTATTCTTTTTAACCATAATTAAACATTTAATTTTAATTTTAATCTTTAAATATTCCATTTAATACATCTAGTCATCTAGTCCTTTAACTCTTATTCAAAACATTTTTTATCCATTATAATTTTCTTAAATTCAATCACATTTAAATATCTAAAACATTTCTTTTATCTAAGTCATTTCAACTTTTTTATATTACTCATATCAAGAAATAAAATAAAAAAGGGAAAAAAGCATACTATATTATTTAGAGAATTCATCCCTCTTAGAATGACATATATATTCCAAATCTTTTCTATTTCTTTAACCACATTCAAACAAATGTTTCTTTTTTAAATATTCTCTCTGGTGGGTCCCATCATCTATTTTCTTGATTTCCACTTTAGTCTTTTTCCTTTGCCTAGTATCTTTCTTAATCAATGTATTTTGCTGAGTCAAAAGGTTTTTCCATATGTTCGTTAATGTTACTGTAGATATAAAAAATAAATCAGGAGAAGTGTCTTTGTACGGGGCTTCTGCCTTTCCTTGTTTGTTGAAAATCTTTTTCTTTTTCTTTCTCTCCACTTCTCATATCATTTCCTTTCTCTCCGATGTTCCTGACATCTCTACAGTCCATTTTATCCAATCTGTTTTCTTGTCCTCAGATTTATTTTGTAGTCTTAAGGGATAAGTTGTTTTTTCCAATTCTTGTGAATTTTTTCCCACTAAGATTAAAGTATATTTCCTTGTTTTGTTAAGTTTCATCTTTAAGTCTCTATTCTCAATTTTATATCCATTTATCTGTTTTATCTGCTCCTTCTCTGTTGTTGTTTTCTGGAAATTTTTTAAAAAACTTTATTGGTTTTTTAATTTTTACAAAATGTGATCCACTAGAGAAGGAAATGGCAAACCACTCCAGTATCTTTGCCATGAAAACCCCATGGACAGTACTAAAAGGAAAAAAGATATGACGCTGGAAGATGAGCCCCTCAGGTCGGAAGGTGTCCAATATGCTACTGGGGAAGAGCAGAGGGCTAGTACTAGTAGTGCCAGAAAGAATGAAGCGACTGGGCCAAAGCCGAAAGGACGCTCAGATGTGGATATATCTGGTGGTGAAAGGAAAGTCCGATGCTGTAAAGATTTTTTCTCCATAGGAACCTGGAATGTAAGATCCATGAATCAAGGCAAGCTAGACTTAGTCAAAAAAGAGATGACAAGACTGAACATCGACATCTTAGGAATCAGCGAACTAAAATGGACAGGAATGGGTGAATTTAACTCAGATGACCATCAGGTATACTACTGTGGGCAAGAATCCCTCAGAAGAAATGGAGTAGCCTTGGAGCTTCTGGTACGGGGCGATGGCGATGGCGGCTACTTAGTAGCCATCCAGCTGGGAAGGTGTCAGAATCGCGGAGCACAGCATGTATCAGCTGGCCCGCAGTTCGGAATCCCCTTCCCGGGCAAAGGGAAGGGGTAGAGAACGCAGGAGTAGAGGTAGAACCCCTGAACCCCCTCTGGATTTATTCCTAGAGGGGGTGGAAGGAGTGTTCCCTCGGAGCTCCTGCTGATCTCTGCCTCCCAGCTGCTTTTGCTTCCTTTTGAAGCAAAAGAAACCGCCGCCTCTATCTCCGCGTCTACAGCGTCTTGGTGAGTAATCTCCGAAGCGGACAGAGCGGTTTAAAGGATTTTTTCTTATATATACTTTAGTCTTTTATTTCTTTTTTTTAGTTAGTTTTGATTATCTCTCCTTTGTTCTTTTTCTTGCCGGCATGGAGAGAGGAAAAAAGATGGTGTTTTAAAAGTGCCAGAGTTTTTTTTCTTTTTTTTTTCCTTTTCTCTTTTGTCCTTTTGCTTTTAAAGTTTTGGACTTAAATGACTGCTTTTGACTTTTTTGTTCCTGGTATTGGATTTTTTCTCCTTTTTTCCTTGGATTTTTAAGGATTACAGTGTTTTTGTCCCTTTTTTTTAAAATTCTATTTCCCTCCTCCTCCCTTTTTTTTTTGGGAAGAAGGGAAGAGAGAACTGTGTCATATAAAATGGCTTCAAAAAGACAGCCGCCTTCTACAACATCTAAGGTGGTCTCCTCTCCCATAACTTTAACTGCACAATCACAACAACAACTTAAACATGTACCACCGACCCAGCCACCACCCTCCCCTCCTCTGCCAGGCCCGTCACTACAAGAGATTAAAGGTATAATGGGAGATGTTGTATCTCAAATCAGAGATGAAATGAAGCAACTTGTTACACAGATTAAATCTGAAATTAAGGAAGAGATAAGTGGGATGAAGGTCTCACTGGAAGATAATAACACCATTTTGCGGCAAGATATAGTTGCAGCTGTATCAGGCTTGGCTACGGTGGTGGTGAAGCTGGACTCGAGAGTGGAGGAAGTGGCAGACAAAGTTGATTCTTTTGAGGAGGATATGGAAAGGAAGATGGAGACTTCACAAGAAGACATCCTTATGTTCCAGTATAGACAGATGGAGTATGCCCTGAGGATCAGGGGCCTTAAGGAAGATATGAATCAAGACCTGATGGAGGTGGTGCTTACTGACTTAGCTATTGCTCTGAATATGGATAAAGGAGAATTACGCAGAGAAGTGGAAAAAATCTATAGAGTTAACTCTTGGATTGCCAAGCAGAAGAATTTGCCTAGAGATGTGGTGATTTACTTTACAAAGAAGTCTCTGTGTAATGAAATTATACAAGTTTTTTATAATAAGAGATTCCAGATTGCTGCCCAAGATATCATCATCTTAAAGGAAATCCCATCAAAAATTTTAAGAAGTAGGAAAGATTTTGCTTTTCTAACTAATGAGCTTAAAGCCAGATTGATGCCATTTAGATGGGAGATCCCAATGGGTATTGTTCTGAGCCATGCGGGGATGCGTTATAGATTGAATACGGTTGAAAAAGCCAAGGAGTTCTACAACACGGTCCTGGGTGCAGGCTCAGTTCCACCTGCTCAGAAACTCCTGAGTGGAAAAGAGTTGGAGCAATCTGAAGCATTAGGTCTGGTTTCTGCTGGGATGTTGCAAGCTGAATGGCAACGTCAAACGGAGGTTAAAGACCAGAGAATGACCCGTGCAGCTTATAGACGTAAGGAGAAGGAGCAACGTAAAAGAGAGGCTAAAGAATCTTCTTCCGAAAGTGTTTCATCGCCGGTGGGAGGAGCAAGACCCAAGAGTTCTGCAATACAGGCAGGAATGGCAGATCTCCAGGGAGTCTTCTCCAGGCTCATGGCCAAGGGAGATGGCAAAGTTCCTGACCTGGAATGTTAACGGATTGAATTCCCCACAGAAAAGAAAGAAAATTTTTTACTATTTGAAGCAACATAACAATGATGTTATTTGCCTACAGGAAACTCATATTTTACTTAAAGATCAGAAATACTTAGTTAATGCCCATCTGGGATCTCATTTTGTATCTTCTGCGCCTGGGAAAAAGGGGGGAGTGGTTATCTATGTGAAGCAAAATCTATCAGCTTGTCTGGTAGAATCAGATCCCCAAGGAAGATATGTGATGATTGAACTTGGTTTATATGGTAAGAAAATACTTATAGTGGGACTTTATGCACCAAATCAGCAACAGGAACAATTTTATAGATTGTTACATCAAAAAATAACTTTGCTGGACTATAGATCCGTGGTATTAATGGGTGATTGGAATGGCGTCTTAGATATACAAAGGGATAAGAAAGGTTCTTCTCTTTTTAAACAGGCAAAATTACCTAAAGCTTTTTTTGATATGAAGGAGGATTGGGAACTAAGGGACTATTGGCGGGAATGTAATCAAGA